CTCTGATAGGTTAGGCTTAAGAACATTGACTGACCATAGATTACCCAGAGTGAGTGTCATGCTTAATTGGAGAATTCAGATCCGGTTTCTTTCCAACTTCCTAACTCCAACTTCCTGCTTTGACCCTTGTGCATCTACCCCAGACCTCCTTCATGCTACAGAGTGGTTTTGTGTGGCAGGTTCTAAGTCAGGCAGTCGGCTCTTGGAGGACATGGGCCAGGCCTGTTGGATGTCATCAGTTTTTCCCCTCAGTTTTCAGTTAACTTTGTATGCTAGAGCATACTCATCTTGAGCACGGTGCTGGGAAATTATTGTCCTGAGAACTAAATTTTCTTTCAGGGAATTTCCTACACCAGTACTGTTCTCGTGGAGGAATTCCTGGCAAGTTTCTGAGGACCCCTGGGTTCTGTGATACACAGTTCGAAAATTGCTCATTAAACATACAACTTAACTGCAAATCTGAGGGGGTTTGTGTGTTTCTATTTCAATTTTGACCTTATCATCTTTCAGGGAACTTATCAAAGAAAACCCCTTCAAAACTAAATGGTTCTTTGTTGTAGATAAATAGGTACAACTTCGGTGGAAAGGTAACAGCGTTCCGTGTTGAGTCATGCCGGCCACATGACCATGGAAATGTCTTCGGACAGTGCTGGCTCTTCGGCTTTGAAACGGAGATGATCACCGCAACCCTAGAGTCAGATTCGACTGGCTTTCGAGCAAGGGAACCTTTACCTTTACTTTATTCCTTAGAAATACAATACTGCTCATTTTTGAACAGGTTCAGTAATATCTCTCTATGACCTATTCAGAAAGACTCAGAGGAATATGACAGAAATTTGATCAAAATGGATCTCTACTTACATATGTTGAGGTTCTAACCTTCCTGCGTGCCAAGTCTTGAAATAATTATTTACAGAAAAGCAAAGTGCATTTACTAAGTTATTCCCTCTACTCATTCTTACATGACACAGAGGAATTGTATTTGCAATTGCATGTTAATTCTACACACTGATTTAGAGTGCAATGTTTACTACGGTATAATTTTTAAAAACTTCAATCATTTTTATTAAATAAAAAGTAGAGGAGGAGGAGGAGATTGGATTTATATCCCACCCTTCACTAGGATTCTCAGAGCAGCTTACAAACTCCTTTATTCATTTATGCTTTCAGCTTGTATCCCGCTCGAACCCCCCAAGGGGTCTCTGAGCGGCTTACAGTTACTCTTTATCCCTATCTATGGCCACATATAGTCAGGGTGGGGACTGCCCTACCGGCACCCAGTGGAGGGACTTGCTGTTCTTCTCTCTCGGTTCGGCTTCTTGTCGGCTCGGCTTTCGGTTTTTTCCGGCTCCTCTACTTCTCCTTCCCGTGGTCTTCGGCATCGGCTGTGATCGGCGTGCCTATCTGGTGCACGGTTTGCATCAGCGCAACTCCGGCTCTGTCCATTTGGCTCTGCCGTACCTGCGCTTCTATGTTCTTTGTGTCTCCTGGCTCCGCCTTCCGCCGACGTCCGATCCACCGCTGGTGTTGCGCCTAGTCGCCTTTCCCTCCCCACAACAGATACCCTGTGAGCTAGGTGGGACTGAGAGAGCTCTGACAGAAACTGCTCTTTTTCAAAAACAGCACTGACATAACCATTGTATTTGTTTCAGACTTATTGCAGTTCTTATTGCAATTCCAGCTAGAGCCCACATCCAACCGGTGCTCCACCAGCTGCACTGGCTCCAGATTGAATACCGGGTCAGGTTCAAGGTGTTGGTTTTAACCTTTAAAGCCCTACACCGGGGGTGTCAAACATAAGGCCTGGGGGCAGGATCTGGCCCACCCAGGGCTCTTATGCAGCCCGCGAGCAACTGATGCAAGGGAGGAAGTGCTTGGGGGAGTGGGCGGATCCGCTCCATTGTAGCTTCAGCACAGCAGAACAGCCTTGTCTGCAGCAGTCCAGCATCATGGGAACCATCTGCCCAAGTGCTGCACTGCTGCCTCTCCAGTCCAGCCCACGGTGCCTTGCAATGAGGATACACCAACTTGGGATTCTCTGTATCAATTGTTTGGTGTAGTGGTTAAGTGTGCGGACTCTAATCTGGGAGAACCAGGTTTGATTCCCCACTCCTCCACTTGCACTGTCTAACCATCTCATCCTTTGCCGTTCCCATCTTCTTTGACCTTCAATCTTTCCCAGCATCAGGGTCTTCTCCAGTGAGTGCTCCTTTCTCATTTGGTGGCCAAAGTATTTGAGCTTCAGTTAGTACTTGGATGGGAAATGACCAAGGAAGACTGGGGTTGCTACACAGAGGCAGTGGCAAGCCACCTCTGTGCTCCACTCTTGCCTAGATTGCCTCAGTACTGGGGATGCCATGAGTTCATTGTGACTCAACAGCACATGTTTCTTTTTCTATCAAGGCTTTGCAACTTACACAATAATGATCTTGCAGCAAATATTTGGGCAGATTTCTAAAAGTGTTTTTGGTGATATCAAGTTAAAAACAAATGTGCTAGAACAGAATCTAAATGCTGGTATGCCTCCATTTATTTTCCTCACAGAACTTGTGTGGCTGCATTCTGAACCAGCTTAAGTTTCTGGGTCAGTCTCAGGGGTAGCCCTGCATACAGCGAGTTACAGTAGTGTAGTCTGGAGGTGACCATTTCATGAATTACTGTGGCCAAGTCAGGGTGAGATAGGAAGGGAGCCATGCAACGGTTATCTCCAGACTAGACTATTGTAACTAGCCTGGCACAGGTGTAAAAATGTCAGTCTGGCAATATTTGTGATCTGAGCCTCCATTGTAAGGGAGAGAGCCAGAATCACACCCAAACTCTTGACTGTTGGCACTGCTGTTAGAGGCACATTGTCAAGAGTTGGGATTTGGTACCCTAAGCCCAAGTCTCCCCGCCCTAGCCACAGGACCTCAGTCTTCAATGTATTTAATTTCAGTCGACTCTGTTTCAACCACCCAGCTAGCACATGGATAGCATTTCCTTTTATTTTCCACTGTGGTGATCTGCAAAATGTGCCTCTCCCTGAAAAAAAACTGTAATAAATATGTTCTCATTAAGCATCAGATTGCTGGTGTACAGCTCCATAACCATCAAGGGACAGACAAATGGAATCTGTCCCCTGGACTGGAGCAGCCCTTGGTGAAGCAACCGCATCTCGACCTTAGAGTATATATGAGATGAATTGAAAGGACTGTTTTCATCACAGTACTGGCATTGCTTTTGATTTGCTTCATTTCAAGCATTTGGGCGTCAACAAGACTAGACTTAGAAATAGGTTTTAAGTCTCATTAACATTGGCAAACACAGTATTTGCTGGTGAAGATGAAAGCATAGCAATTTTTAACACACTTTATATCTGTTTTCCTCTTGTTTAATCTGTATCGAAGATGACAGCGCATTCTTGCAAGGTTAAGCTTCTTAATTGTCCAGGAATTGTTGTTGTTGTTGTTCAGTCGCACAGTTGAGTCCGACTCTTCGCGACTCCATGGACCAGATCACGCCAGGCCTACCTGTCTTCTGCCATCCTTTGAAGTTTGCTCAATTTCATGTTTGTTGCATCTATGACACCGCTTAGCTTTCTAAGCTTAAACACGCTTAATAAAGCCAGGCTGTCCATATTGCCAAAAGCTTTAATAAGGCATTCTTAATTAAAGACACTTGTAGACATCCTAGAGACCAATCACAATGAGTTCACAGAAGTTGCCTCCTGATGTAATTTGAAGAGAGAGTTTAGTCTGGCATCTAAGAATTAAACTGCACCAGAAAGACCAGAGTTGAAATCTTGCCTCACCCATAAATTTGCTGGACATCCTTAGGTAATCGAGTGTTCTTTTGTCATCAAACCCGATCCAAACTTTGGAAGTTATAATATTACTACGAAAAAGGTCCATTGTGGAAATAAATACAACGGTCTCTAGAAAGAGGCTCTGGGCAGGTGCCCCGGCCTTGGACCCTCAGAGTCAATTTGTTGTGGCGACCTCAGCAGGGTATAATGACACTGAGGTATAATGACATTTTCTCCAGAGGAACTGATCTCTGCTACCTAAAGAACAATTGTAATTTTGAGTGATCCCCAGCCCTCACCTGGAGATTGGCAACGATGGTTCCCTAGAAGGGAATGGTTGGTTTGGAGGGTGGAGTCTATGGCTTTGTACCTGTCCCACGCCTCCTGAAACTTCACCCTTTCCAGGCTGCATCCCTCACATCTCCAGGAATTTCCCACCTGGAGTTGGCAACCCTATCTCCTGCCCAGCCAATCATCAACCTACCTTTATTTCCCCCTCATTCTTCAGCTTCCCACCCCCCCACACACCTGCAGCCTCTCCCGTGCTCTGAAGCCCTGACTGCTACGTCACATAGTATGTCATACGGGGGCCACCTCAGCAGCATATAAGGATACAGAGCCCACCATTTTCTCCAGGGGAACTGATCTCTGCCATCTGGAAAGCAGTTGTAATTCTGAGTGATCTCCAGCCCTCACTTGGAGATTGGACACATTTTACCTCAGAACAGCAAACTGTTTAGAATGTTAGAGGCAAAAGCCAATCAAGTCGCATATGCAAACGACCTCTGTGTTCCGAGGCAAAGGCCAATGAGGCTGCATATGCAAATAACCTCTGGGTTCTGACTGGCTATGGGGGGGGGGGACAGCAAACTGTTTAGAATGTTGGAGGCAAGACTCAAGCAATGCAGCCAGTGTATAGGAACAGATTCTGAGTGACACACCAGGGTGCTAACCAATTCCGGAGCGTGTGGAATGTTCTAGAGAAGTGCCACCATCATTCGGCTTTTATATATAAGGGAGATGGTGTTCTTGTTAAGGATGGTGGGGGTGATATATGTGAAGAGAATGTTTGTGTTTGAGGGACATTATGCATGACTTTTAAGGACAGTTAAGAGGGGAAACAATCCAACAACTGCACAGTTTCATGTATGTGCTCTTTGGGGTCATTTTAGTGTACTTTTTAAAAACAGAATTAATTTGCCTTTGTCATTGATAGGTATTTGTATGCTCTCGGACAGAAGGTATGGAAAAGATGGAAAAAGCGTTACTTTGTTCTTGTACAGGTTAGTAGCATTTCACACCATATTTCTTGAAAAACCTGTCCAAATTAAGTAGGTGATTAACAGCAGCAGAGCCTCATTGCAGACATAGCCTTTTACTGTTCAAACAGTATTTTGTTTGCTTTGCGTCAAAAAAACTGTACAGTTTAGCTCTTAGAATTACCTTGCATTTCTTAATGACTGGTTACAACTAAGCATTTCCTGTTCATTTGACTTCTGTTCATGAACTGGATCTGTGATGACTCTTTGATCCTGCTCTCAGAATCTTTCCAGGACATTCCGCAGAAAGCAACTCTGTTTACTTAGGGACGTAATATGACACCTCTCCACAGTCCTGCTTAATGTGGCTTATATTTAGGGGTGCCAACCTTTAGGTTGGGTCTTGAGATCTCTCAGAATTACAACTGATCTCCAGACTACAGACATCAGTTCTCCTGGAGAAAATGGCTGCTTTGGAGGGTGGACTGTATGGCATCATACCCTGCCGAGGTCCCTCACCAAACTCCACCTTCCACAGGTTCCACCTCCAAATCTTCAGGAACTTCCCAACCCAGAGTTAGCAATCCTACTTACAAGTAACTCCCTTAAAATAATAAAAAACATTATAAAACATTGATATAAAACCGAAACAAGCTATTAAAAACAAACTGGAGCCAGACATCGATAGGTTGCAGTTCCATGGGACACTGATAGCAATACCTAGCTCATGACAGTCCCTAGGCCTTGTACTTGTGCAACAATTTTGGGAATAGTGCTCATAGTAGCCAGTTTGGAAAAAAGTGCTGTATCTCTGTGGTTTGTAATGCACAGAAATGTTTGGTGTTCAGATAGCAAAATGTTCTGGAGTATGAGCACATGAAGCTTCTTTATATTGAATCAGACAATTGGTCCATCAAGGTCAATATTGTCTACTCAGTCCGACAGCAGCTCTCCAGAGTTTGAGGTCTTTCACATTACCTACCACCTCATCTTTCTACTGGAGATGCCGGGGATTGAGCCTGGGACCTTCTGCATGCAAAGCAGATGTTCTACCACTGAGCCATGGTACCTCCCCCTGAGTTCATTTAGCAGACACCTCACTTAGTTGGTATCTACTTGTGGAGGCTCCTGTACAAACACAGTGTTCTGATACACTGTTGTCAGGGACTGGGCCGCACAATGCATTAATGGATGTGGCAGGCAAGCAAGCATAATCCATGAGCAGGCTTGAATCTCTGCATAGGTGTAGTTTTCTGACTGAGACTTATAGGTGGCGCTGTTACAAACAGGAGTTAATGGGAAGTGGGAAAGACCAAATAATGTGCTATCGAGTCACAACCATCTCATGGCGACCCCATCCATGGGGTGTTTAAGGCAAGAGAGGAGCAGAGGTGGTTTGCCACTGCCTTGCCCTCCATAGCAATCTCGATCTCCTAAGTGATCTCCCATCCAAGTATTAACAGTGGCAGACCCTGTTTAGCTTCTCAGCTCTAATGAATTCAGCCTCAGCTAGGCTGTTACCCAAATAGGCAGTCTCCTAATTATGTTGTAGAAGGCTTTCACGGTCAGAGTTCATTAGTTGCTGTAGATTTTCCGGGTTGTGTGACTGTAGTCTTGGTTCTACAATGCCAAGACCACGGCCACACAACCCAGAAAATCTACAGCAACTAAAGTCTCCTAATTAGTTGGGGGAATTAGCCAAAGATACAGAGAGAGAGGTGGGTAACTGGGATTCTCCACCTATGTATCCCAGGATTTTTCCCCTTAAGAGAACTCTCAAATAAACCAGGCAGATGTTCTACCGGAGAGGTTTTTATAATTATGAAAATAAAACAAAAACACATACATACTGAAATAAACAGAAAAACTAACTAAGAAAAATAGAGAGGACGAGGAGAGATTTTAAAGGAAGGGTGATGATTACTGATCTTGAAGAGGTCCGCGGAAGCTGCAAAACAACCAGCATTTTGGGAAGTGAGAGAAGAGAGCCCACAACATGAGGGTGTATGGAGAGGATACAAGGCACAAGCACACTGCTGGGGCAGCAGGGTGGTCCAGTTATAAGGCAAAACATACACTTAGGTGGGTATGATGTATTGGTCAAAAAACAATGACTAAATGGCTTATCCAGAGGTAGACAAAAAAGGTGTGAGAGGTTTGATGGCTGTACAAGCACTGGACAAAGGGCAATCAGGAAAGTAAAAAGTTTTAAGTGTTAGAAAGTAAAAAGATATAAGCATTGATTAATTGCTGCTTAATCAAGGGGTAATGGGTGAGGGTACGTGAGGCTGGGGCAATGAAGGGATTATGTTGAGTCCTGGGCGACCCATTGTTCTAAAGTCATGCATCTCTCCAGGGTAAGGAGGTGGGTATTAGCCAGCCAGCTACTCTTGACTAGAGTTTTAAAATTGTTTTCCAAGGTTGATGCCTGGCTGGCATCCATCTTGGTCCATTTTGCACATCAAACATTGAAGTGATATTAAGAGGGGTGGGTTTTTTTCCTCTCTCTCTCTCTACCTGAAAACTGCCCCTCTGTGGGAGTTGGGGTCTGACTGCTAACAAGACTATTCAGCCTGCTCATCACTGTATAGGCAAAAGTGAAAAGAATTATATATGTTAGGTAAAAGTTTTATGATACCGCCCTCATTATTTTGCCATTCTCTTTGTTCCACCTGCTTTTGTTCAGCTCACCGGCAGGATGATGATACACAGAACATCATGTGAGACCAAAAACCAGCATACATCCTATCATACTTATTCAATATCCTTTATTCAATTGGTGCAGCAAATTTGACCAGGCCCTGATGCCACTTGCAGCACCATAGACAGTATAAACAAAGGCTTTCAAATTAGCACACAGTGGTAGCTTTGAGCCTTTCTGTAGTGATCCTTCTATTGATACACTTGATCTCCACCCCATACTTCTTTTACTAGATCTGGTGTATTTACATATATAAGTTCATTTACCTGGCAAGTTATACTTGCTCTGTGTACCTTGTAAGATCTGCACTGGGGGGGGGGGAGTTCAGAGGTCATGCCAATTCACCTATAGCCCCTAGTGATCATGGAATGTTAAAAATCCTCCTTGTCCATAAATATTCACTTTAGCTCATTTCTGTGAACTAAATCCTGTGGGTTTTGATGGACACAGATCAATAGAATTATGCCTAAGGACTATAGCAAACAAGGAATGCCTAAGTGGTTCGTCAATGGACATTCCAAGTCATCTCACACTAGGGGAAGTATTTTTGATATGGATCTGACCATGAGAATCTTTCTGCTTTTTCTTTACTAAAATCCTTGTGTGTGTATATGGGCTCAGCTCCAGACTTTAGCACCTCCAGTTAAAAAAATCATGGGTAGCAGGGCTGGGAAAAACTGATTCAAATTGTTGCCAGCTGTAAAAAATAATCCTAGGCTAGATGGACCAATGGCCTGGCAGCCTAATGCAGCTTCCTATGTTTGGGAACAGCAAAATCTGTGAATAGTTTTGTGGCAAGAAGTTCGTGGACTAGGAAATTACCGTTTCAGCCCAGTATTGTTGTCAATAACAGTTGGAGCTAATTTATTGCTGTTTGTGTTAAGCTTGCCCACCTGTTGTTTTTTTCAAAAACAAGTATCATCATGTAATACCTTTCCTTAAGGGCAGCCAAAATGAGACAAAACATGGGTCAAGCTTTTGAGTTGCCCAGAACTCTTAGTCTGGCTGGATAGTTTAAAAAAAAAAACGAACAAAGGGGAGGGGAGGGGGTTAGGGAAAAATTGATCTTTCAGGCTGTAGCCTTAAGGCTTCTGTTAGACATAGACATTAAGATGATAGCCTGAAACATCTTCTTTTTTCCTTCCATCTCTTTTGTTTGCACATCCAGCCTGATGCAGAGTTCTGAACAAGTCAAAAACTTCTATACTGAGTTGTGTTGCTTTGGTTGTTCTTAATAAAAAATAACCCTAACCCTTTATTTTTTGGATCTTGCTATGGACCAACATATGAACACATGAAGCTACCTTATAATGAATCAGAACATTAGTCCATCAAGGTCAGCATTGTCTAAGACTGTCAGCAGCTCTCCAGGCCAGATGTCTTTTACATCCCCTGCTGCCTGGTCGTTTTAAGCAGAGATGCTAGGGATTGAACCTGATACCTTCCACATGCCAAGCAGATGCTCACCCACTGGGCCACAGCCCCTCCCTGTGTCTTTCGTCAACTGTAGATCAGTGATGGATACCTCCTCCTTTCAGTGGTGAACACCTGCTTGTCTTTTAGTTCAACTGCCGCCCCCCAATATAATTTAGTCGCTCTACTTCCCACCTACCCTGACCTGGATAACAAGCTAACCCGATATTGGAAGCTAAGCAGGGTCAGCCCTGGCTAGTACTTGGTTAGGAGACTTCGAAGGAATACCAGGGCTGTGATGTGGAGGCAGGCAATGGCAAACCACCTCTGAACATCTCTTGCCTTGAAAACCCTACAGCTGTGACTTGATGGCACTTTTTTTTTTGCTCCCCCGCAGGGGAATTTTTATTTTTTTGCATTTTCTCCACACTACAATTATGGGATGGGGGAAGGGATACTAATACCCTAACACTAATACTATGGGTGATGGGTATATGAAATCTAATACATAAACCTACTGGATAAGGGAAGGAGTACTACAGTTCTAATCTATTCCATCTACTGGATTTGGGGAATAGGTAAAGACTAATACATGTCACAATCTGAGAAGTTATAGAAATATTGTTTTTAACCTAATATAACACGTTATGTTAAGAATTGATTCAATTATTAATACATATTTAGTAGCTTAATGCAATTTCTGCCTTTAATACTATTGCCTTAGTTCTAGAGTCTTTTCTTCCTGCGTTTCTTCATTTTCTGGAGTTTCGGAACGGCCGCTTCTTTCTCCAATTCAGATGATTCTGATGACATGGAAGTTTGGCTTGTTGAATCCTGTAAGTAGGATTCATCATCTTCTTCTTCCTCCCCATCCGGTTTTAAGTTCTTTCCTTCTGCTTCTTTTTTGTGTTAAACACTTGGTCCATAAATTTTTCCGCTTTTGGAACAGAGTCAATTTTATATTTTTTCCCCCTGGAAATTGAAGCTCGGCCCTTCCCGGAATAACCATCTATATGGTATTCCCTTTTTTTTGCAGAGTGAGAGTGAGCATCTTATTTATTTATTTTATTGCATTTATACCCCACCCTCCCCGCGAACGGGCTCAGGGCATCCTGTAGCGTTTCCTCTGTTTTCTAATTTCAAAAGGGATGTCTTTCAAAAATTTTACTTCTTCATTCTTGATTTTTAAGGATTTTCCCATTGTTGACTTTAACACCAGTTCTCTAGTAGATCATTTCGTGAATTTCAGATAGATTTCCCCAGGTAATTTATTTTTCTTTATAAAATCCAGATAAGTCCTATGCGCTACATCCATCTCTTTTATTAAATCTTCTTGTTTGTAATCCATTAATGGGGCCAAGAGTTCTTTTAAGTCCTCATTTTTCTCTTTGGGGATTCCATGAAAACGTAGAACATACATGGATCTATCCAGCTGAAGCTCTGTTATTTGCATTTTATCAGCGGATCTTTCCTTCTCTGCTTCATCCACTCTTTTATTAATACTCTCAGTCTGTTTTTCCATCTTTTTCTACATTTTCTTAGTTGCTGAGGTTCTTTTATCCATTTGATTCAGCTGTTTTTGGACATTATCAAGCTTAGTGTTGAGATTAGTCATCTGCTCCATTAGGGGGCGCAGTGCATTTGCTAGCAGTGCAGAGAAATCTGAATTTACTTCCTGGTTCTGTGAAGGACCGGTTATTTCCGGTCACCAGTTTTTTATCCGGCACTCTCCATCCTCTCCCAGCTATATCAAAAAGAAGCAAGTTTTCCAAAACAAGGCAAAAGTTATACGATGTGCTTATTTTAGCTCAAAGTCTTTTATTTTCGATTTAAAACCATTTTTAAAGTTTGCTCAGCGAAAAAAAAGGTTTGTGTGACTTCCTCTCCCCAACGCTTCAAACTTAGGCGCTTCCAATTACTACCAAGGTTCATTTTGCTTTTTTCACCTGAGCTTTGCTTAACTCACGATTTGGAGCCTTGGAGATCTTTTGGAAGCATTTTTAGAAGTTTGATCGTGGTCGCTTGCTCCGACAGTCGTCTCTGGGTGCCATGCTGGCTCCGCGGTGACGGTACCTTTCAGGAAAGAAGGTGAGCCTCAATTCCTTGGCCGTCATCTTGGAAGAGGCTCTCCTCAGCTCCCCAGGCTGGGGGTCTCCTACAAAGACCCCGGGGAGGTATGGGATAAACTCGGACCCCTCCCGTCAGCCGGGTCGTGGCGCGTCTCCATCAGAGCGAGACGGGATGCGTCCGAGCAGCGAAACACTTTTACCAGAAGTCGACTTGATGGCACTTTTCACCACCACTACATTTCCTACCCCTGATCCTCAGGTCACTCTTCCCCTTATCAGATAAAACAATAATGACACTTTTCAAAAAGTACAAAACATCTCCCAGGTGCATATTGTGTTTGGACACAAGAGGTGGTGGGCACAGATTATTGTGCAGGGGCAAGCAAGCTAACCCAACACAGGATAGCCTTTATTGCTTTAAAAACTCTTATTTGTATCCTGCTTCCATTATCTGAAAATAGTTTTAGTTTATCTTTTTTTTTAATCCCCGGAGGGATATTTTTTATTATTTTTATAAGATTACCAAATTACAAGGAAATATAAGGGAAGGGGATTACATCTAAGGATAAAGGATAGATAACCACACTACACTAAAAACCCAAGAGGAGGAGATCCTATCCGTGTTAATCTGTTATTAATAAAAGTGTTAGTACAACAATATACTTGTAAGTTCTTGTTTGTCTCGGCTTCAATGTTAGTATGTTAGTTGTTGTGAGAGAACTTTCTGAGCTTTCTTCTTGTTATTTGCTTCAAAAGGCAATTTTCAGAGTCCTTCTGCCTTTACTTCGGTTTTCTAGCTCTGAAATCATATGTAACTTTCATTGCGCCTGTTCCCGTTTCTACAGCAGAGTCCTCATCCGTTCCAGAGGTAGCAGAGTCACTTAATTTCGATTCTTCATCTTTGGATTCTTCCTCCAATCCCAACTGACGTCTCAAAAATTATTTGGCTTTAAAAATGGAGTCAATCTTTTCTCTTTTGTCGTTGATTTTAAAGATGACACCCTCTGGGATCGCCCACCTGTACGAAATTCCATTGATTTGAAGAAAGGAAATTAAGTCCTTGTAGCTTTTCCTCTTTTGACGAATTTCAAATGGAATGTCTTTTAAAGTTTTAATGTTTATATCCCCCATTTTCAGTAGAGTTGCTGAAGTTGCTTTTAAAATAGCATCTCTGGTCTGTCTTCTTGAGAATCTGACCACAATTTCTCCAGGTAGGCTATTTTTTTTAATATAGTTGGAGTATGCCCTATAAGCAGTCTCCATCTCTTTTACTACTTCATCCACTGTTGAGCCTATTGCTGGAGCAATGATCTCACTGAGCAGCTTCCTCAGATCCTCCTTCGCCAATTCAGGAACTCCCTGGAATCTGAGAATCATGTTAGCTTTTTCCATTTGTAGCTGTAACAAACGGTTTTCTTGGAAGTTTTGTTTTGCTTCAACTTCCCCCATTATTTTCTTCATTTTCTTGTTTGTGGTGTCTATCTCTTTAATTCTCTCAGTCGTATGCTACACCTTCTTCGCCGTTTCTGCCAGTTGGAGCTGCTGGGATGCGAAGTTTTGATTCAGCGAAGTCAGTTGCTGGTTAATACCATCGAGTTGCTCCATCACCGGCTTGAGCATATCCGCTAACATTTTCAAGACGTCTGCTCCCTCTTCCGGTTTTGGGCTCTGACTAGCCGCCGGTTTAGCTTTAAACTTTCTTTGCAAGGCTGCCATTTTATACGATTGTTTACCATTTCAAACTGCTTCTCAGGGACTCAAAAAATCGTCACCTCGATGTCAGCGCTAAAGTAAGTCTCTCAAAACAAAATCACTGCTTATTTCCCCCCTGCCCCCTTTGTTACGCTTATCTGTCCGTTCGCATAAGAGGCATCCCTCTTTGCGCTCCACTTTCCCCACGGGGTGGTGGTGGTTCGCTTTTAAAATATTCAGTTTATTTTGAACTCACATTCATTGTCGGTCATTTCCCTGACCTCGCTCACAGTAATCGATATTCCGCTCAATCTCCAGCGTTTGTCCCAGTCGAATCAGCTTGTGCCCGAGGGCCACACAGCGGCAGGACCGTCAGGGCAGAGGGGAGCCTCAATTTTCCAGCATTTAGCCATTGAAGAGGCTGCCCCTCAAAAGCCCTATAGCCTGGAGCCTATCACAAAGGCTCCGTGTGAATGCTACTTGAGGTAGCAACCCTCCATACCGCTGGTGTGCGATTCGCTCCCCCGAGGTCCGGGAAGAACGACCGCCATCGCTGATCCACAGACCGGAAGTGTCAATAGTTTTAGTTTATCAAGAGCCAACGAATTCCTGTTCAGTTTGCTTCTTGTTTTTTCATGATAGTTTCACAGTCATTGATGACTTTACATTGTACTGCAGATCAATGGTATAATTCATTAGACGACTTACGTGTCTGTGTTTTTGGAGGATAAACTAAAGACCAATTTGTCCTGTATTTCTTAATTCATTTCTCATTTTTACTGCATAGTTGCTAGCTATGTGAAATGTCATTTGTAACCATATCTTTAGTATCTAGACTGTAGTCCTAAGGATGCTATCCTGGGAGTAAGCCCTTTGAATAAAATGGGATTTACTTCCAAGAGGATTACATCTTAAGTTATTGCTTACTTCAGTGAACTTTGTACTGTAGTCTTCTGATGGATAACTAAGATTGTATAATAAAATATTGTAAACCTAAAACTTTCTTTACTCAGGTTAGCCAGTACACATTTGCTATGTGCAGCTATAGAGAGAAGAAATCTGAGCCTCAGGAATTAATGCAGCTTGAAGGATACACGGTGGACTATACAGCACCTCATTCAGGTATTTTGAGACATAATGCTCACTAGTTATGTGACTGAACCAGGTTCCTTGGTCATATTCTTGCAGATAGGTCCTCTTTGAAGCCATGCAAAAAATCACAAAAATGCTAATCAAAGTTGCTAGTGTCATAGAATATTCAGGTATTTAATGTTGCGAAATGCAGAGTTCCTAAATAGTAAAAATTACTTATTGCAGAGTATTGTCTGGCTGCTTCTCTTGTTCCCTTCTTGACCCTACTGGAATAGAGAAAAGATTTTACTGTTCAGTCAACAGACCTCTTTCAGTAATACAATACAGTCATTAAAACAAATCAGAGTATTTATACATGCTTGGTCAACAGAATTCTTTCAACATCAACGAGTCTTGCTACATTAAGAAAAATAAGATTGACCATCTTTTTTGGGGGGTATTATTTTCTTTTTTATAAGTTCTGAATATTCACTCTTCAGGAACTGAAGCAACAGATTTATTTTTGCCTTCTGAGGAAAAAGTTTGTCTTTTTCATGATCATAAAATGGAAAGCATAGGTTGTGTGTATGTACCCTTTGTTCACAAGGAAAAGAAACAGCGACTGGATAATACCTTTTGGAGAGGAATATACCTCCTGTCCTTGCTCCGCACCCCATTTGTTTGCATGTAGGGTTTGAGGTGGATACAGCCCCCCCTTCCCTACACTCCATTCAGTTGTAAAGAACAAGAAAAGGGTGTGTGCGTGCAACTAATTTTCACCTAAGGCAGCAAAATCACTGGAGCTGGCCCTGACTCTGACTTCCCAATTTTGCAGGTCTCCAAGGTGGTCAGATGTTCTTCAATGCTGTAAAAGAAGGTGACACTGTGATATTTGCCAGTGATGATGAGCAGGATAGAATCCTGTGGGTTCAAGCCATGTACAGAGCAACAGGCCAGTCCTATAAGCCCATCCCTGCGAGTCAGGCACAGAAGATGAACTCAAAAGGTAGCAATATCCACATCGATCTGTCACAGAGTAAGTTTGTTTTGTTTGGTTTTTAACTTCATGAAATTCTTGACTGTAATTAATCAGAATTAAACTTGATTTTCCTGACAGGTTTGTGCCATTAATAGCCATGGAACCCTTAAGTTGCAACTCATTTCTGCCATTGCATTAACTTTAAAATATACAGTCAGTTTTGTTAAAGTTCAAATGTGTATTCCCATGGAAACAGTATAAAAAGATGTTATTACTTTTAGCAATTTCATTTGTTTTAAAATGTATGTTTTGGATCTTGGACACTTCATGGCCCAGAAGCATCCACTGTAAAGCTAAAGCGACCAGTTGTGGTCACAGCACCCAGCCAGGATTGCACTCAGTGGAGGGGGGGGGGAGCAAGGTGCTGTACATAGCTCCTGGTTGGTTGAAACAGCCACAATTCCGACCAATCTGAGCAGTTTTAGCAAATGGAACTTGGATCCTGAGCTATATATCTCAGATGTCAGGTACAGCTGTCATTTGTTGGGGCTTTAGTGGGGCACATCAGCCCAGTGGTTGGCAGAAGGAAATATGGATTAGGTCCTTACATTCAAACTTCGTATTCAAGCCATATTTTAAATACTTTATGAATTTTAAAAATATGCCAAACAAATGCATCTTTAAACATTCCACATTAAAACAAAGTCATATTATATTGAACCTGGAACCTTTTGTAGGCAAACATACACATGAGCACACATGGAGCTGCCTTGTATCCCATCAAGGTCAATATTGTCTACTCACACTTCCTGCAGCTCTCCAGGAGTGAAGTAGAGGTATTTCATGTCATCTTCTTCCTGTCCTTTTAACTGGAGATGCCGGGGATTAAACCTGGGATTTTCTGCAGCCAAAGCAGAGGCTTTTCAACCAGTGTTCCCTCTAAGCTGAGTTAATGTGAGCTAGCGCACAGTTTTATAGCCTCTGGCTCACACAATTTTGTCTCAGCTCAGGAAAGATGGCTCCAGAGCAAACTAATTTATGCAGTAGCCAAATCGCTTGCTCACAACTTTAAAGCCAGTAGCTCACAAAGTAGAAGTTTTGCTCACAAGACTCCACAGCTTAGAGGGAACATTGTTTTCAACTGAGCCACAGCCCCTCTCTGTAACGTTATTAATATGCAAAGGTCCTTCCCATTGAGCCTTCACCGAAGTACAAATGTCTGTAATGAACATGTTAAGTGTTGTTCTGAGGGGCTGCACATAATTCGCTCAAACCCATTAACTTTGACCAAGGTTTATCTTATGAAACTGTTCATTCAGGTTTGATCCATAAAGTCAAAGCCATTTAGCACAAGTACAAGAGTCCCTAGATAATGAGGTACTTTCCCTGCCCCTTTGTTTTCATCTTGGGATAAAAGACAGTGTAAAAGAATATAACACTCATTCCTTAGAAGCACAGTACTGGTGAGAGTTCACCATTCAAAGCAAATCTGTTTTTACCTGAGGCTCAAACTGCCCTTGACAGTGAGAAACCTGTTTTTTAAAAGCTGAGTCTGCCCCAAGAGTGTGTAAAGTGAGGCCTGGTTTTTAATGCAGAACAGGTGCTCTGAGAGCCTTATCCCAAGCCCTGCCCCCTGTGCCACGCTCTGCCAGTAGTGGGGTGAGGGCAATCAGACACAGGACTTTTTTTACTGGTGGTGCCTTGCCTTTGGAATGTCCTCATCCTTGAGGCTCTCCTGGTGCCTAGTTTTACTCTCCTTTCAGCACCAGGCTGAAAATTTTTTCTCTTTAATGATCCATCTTCTTTAATTAGTGTTTTCATGGTCTGCTTCTAGACAGAGGCTGTTCTATGAATACTATTTTCTTTGTGAAAATTGTCTTGCTGTAATGATGAGCATTGTTTATTAGGCTCTTTGCTTGTTTTATTTCTGGTTTTAATACTGATAAATTTTGTTCTTTGTTGTTGTATGTGGCTTTATTACTGTAATGTTTAAATTTCTTGTGAGGTGCCATGAGCAGGTCTCTGCGGAAGCAGATGTATGGCAACAAACCCTCCACTCACAGGTGGCATACCTCCCTACTTTATACTCCCCCATGCCATTTCCCTCCCCATCAGGGCTTAGGAGTGGGGGGAAAGACTCTATTCTCCTGTCCATGTGCCCCTTTAATTCTAGAAATCAGCCGCCACCACCCTCCTGTCCCCTTTATTTGTGTTTCTTGCCCAAATTTTAGCAAATGATCTGTCACCGCTGTTGGCAGTTTGAGCCTGGAATAGTGAGGAAAGAGATATAATTAATATTCTTGCTCATGTAAAACAGTGCTAGGTAAGATTATTTATTCAGAGGAACATTGGAAACAAATTTACAGAGTAGGGTTGTTGTTTTTTAAATGTAAATGAAACTTTATTATGCTGAGCTTATATGTCAAGTGTTCAGTACACCTAGAACTGCAATCTTGCAGCCTCAATTCACTGCAGTTTGCATAGTGGCTCTCTAGCTGTCTTCATGTACGTTTATTTAATACAATTCTATTCTGCCTCTTTAAAGATGTACAATAAAGGTAAATTACAGTTCAAAAGCATCCTAATGTACAAAAGAAAAACTGGTCATAAATCTCAAAACAATTACGGGATCAGTATATCAAACACCAATGTAACATAACTGAGATCCAGAGCATTTTCCAACCGTAAAGGAGAAAGCACAAGAAGTGTTGAAAGAACCAAGATCTGAGATAGCAATGTTGACTGCTCCCAAAAGATACTTGGCAACCCTGCTACTGCCCATCAATCACAATTTTGTACATGAATGACACCCCTAAATTAACTCTGCACAGAAAGCATTGATCACTGTTGCAATGTTGCAAGAGCCTTGACGATGCCACCATTCTTTCCAGGGATCTCCCCATACACACTCAGGGCTGCTGATAACCACCATGGGCCTCCAGACAAAGATTCCATTTGCCCCCCCCCCATATGACCGTGATCCAAACCAAATATAACTAAACAAATCATTTGGTAGGCTGTTACCATGCATCTATAATACTAAAAAGATATCATGTCCATCTGTCTGTCCATTTGTGGCAGGCATAACTCATCAGAAAATAAAACTAAACATCTCAAGATTATCCACCAGCTTCAATGAGTTGTAGAAGGCCTACATGCTTGAAATCCTAGGGTACTGGCTCCCAAGGGAAAAGTATTGAGTCCTGCAGCAGGACTGATGATCCCAATTAACAAAGTTCAGATCATTGCCCGCAGTACTTCTTCTGTTGTATCTAAATGAGATGGAAAAGCTTTTTACTAGGGAGAGGACAGGACCACGTGGACAAAGAAGAAGGAGAACTGAAGCAGCTGTCTCCCAGGAGGTAGCATCATAGGGTTCCCTCTAAGCTGAGTTAGTGTGAGCTAGCTCACAGTTTTTTAGCCTCCAGCTCACACACAGCTCATGGAAGACAGGAGGGCCTGGCATAATGTGGTCCATGGGGTTGCGAAGAGTCGGACTCGACTATACGATTGAACAACAACTCACACATTTTTGTCTTATAGGGTTGTCAGGTCTGGGTTGGAAAATACCTGGAGACTTTGGGGATGGAGCCAGGAGAGGGCGGAGCTTGGGGAGGGGAGGGGCTTCAGCATAGTAAAAATGCCATAGAGTCCACCCTTCAAAGCAGCCATTTTCTCCAGGGGAGCTGATCTCTGTCTGCTGGAGATCAGTTGTAAAAGCGGGAGATCCCCAGGCCCCACCTGGAGGCTGGCAACCCTGTTGTCTTAGAACAGGAAGGATGACTCCAGAGCAAACTAATTTATGCAGTGGCCAAACTGCTTGCTCACAAAGTAGAGTTTTTGCTCACAAGACTCCAGAGCTTAGAGGGAGCATTTCACAGCTACTCAGTAGTTCCATGGAAACACTGAAGTAGCACAGGCCTGACTTTCTAAGAGGTAGTAGATTTGATCTGTGGCTATACTCTCCCAGGACCAAAGGCTGAAGGAAGATGCATGCCAGCCTGAGAAGTATGTGTTGTGATAGCTGTGTGATGATGGAAGAACCAATGGACCCATGTAGCAGCTGTCCAACCACAGTGAGGCATCAGGATATGTAGGCTGCTGTCATTTTACCCTAGCCCCTTCCATGCCACCTAGCCCTTGTGTGTATTTGATTGTCTGACAGTAGCTGCTTGTTATTTTTCTCCGGTGGTCCTGGGAGTGGGGCAGTCCTTACCCTTGGGAATAGGCTCCTCCCTCTGGAACAGGGTCGGTTTCCTCAGATCAATCCAGGAAGGGGAGGGCCCTGTCCCCTGGGAACAATCCAGTCTTACCGGCCCTGCTGCTTGAGCAGGATGTGTTTCACAGGCGCTCTGTAGAGCGCCACGATCCAAAAATGAGAAGAAGAGAGGGAGAAGGGAGAGACCCTCCCTCTTCATTATTTTGAGCTGCAGTCAGTGGCAAACCGCAAATGAAGCCGATGGCACTGGGAGATCCCCAGTAGCCAAGGCTGTGTACGCAGACTCCCACCGGGCCCAGCCTGTGGCTGGAGGTCGCCTCCCCAACCATCGCACATTAGGGGAAGCGGCTGAGTCTGCAAGGAGACCAGGGCGGCGCTGCAGACCCAGCAAACTCCCCGGTCTCAGAGGACCCGGCGTGCGGTGGAACAGAGAAGCTGGGAGCCTCTAGCCCTCACCAGAATCATGGTAAGCCCTTGCGGGGCCAAAAAGCCTAGACTGGAGGCAAAGGAGGGCAAGGTGGTAGACTGGGGGAAAAAACCCAAGCAAACCCCCAAGCTATTCAGGGAGGATGAAGAGGAAATTGTTTCCTGGGGCTTCCAACCTCCCCAACCTGGGACAGGCTGGAGTGGATTAAAGAGCCGTTTCCCCCTCCTTTTTCCTCTTCAGAGGGAAAGTTCCCATGGAACAGACAGGGAGCTAGAAGACCCAGGGAAGGCCATAGGAGGGTGGGGGAGATGGTGGTGGCCATCTTGGTTCTCTGGCGCCTCATGGCAGGCTTACTTTCACTTTCACTCCCAGGCAAACAAACAGAAAATGGCTGCCAGTTCCCTGTTCCCAGAGCTGAATAGCCCAAGC